CCCCCCCCCGGTACAGGGATGGGAAATGTTAGCAAGTAGTGGGCCACTCTCTCCAGATGCCAGGCACCCCCCTCCCAAGGGGCAGGCAAGAAACCTGTTACAGTCACTGCGGAACCAACCTTCCTCATCCGCTGGATGTGCACGTGCTCCGGGGCCAGGAGCAGGACTTTGGTGATGGTCCGAGCGTTCATCTTGGCAACGGGGATGATGAACACGAAGAGCCAGGCGATGAAGCAGACCAGGCCGTGGGCAAGAGCGAGGACCGGGTAGCCCAGCAAGAGCCAGATATAAGTGTTGACACGCCGCTGGTGGGAAGAGCGAAGGAAGGGCTGCGTGAGCGGCCAAGGGGGAGTACCAAGCCAAGGGAAGACGCTTCCAATCAGAAGCCGTCGGGGCTGCCCAGCGGATACTCGGATCTGCTGGGGCATCAGCACAGACCAGTATGCCCATGGTTCAGTTATAGGGACCGTACAACTGGAGACCACCTACTGGCATCCTGTTCCTCCATCTCCTGGCCCGGGTAGCATCGGGGCCAGAGATTCAGAAGCCAGAGACGTTTCCCTGCTGGTTCTTTCCCATTCCGAGAGGGTATTCGGAGTGCCGTAGGACTGCACTGATACGGACCCAGCAGCATGAGCCAAGCCACAGCTGATCCGAGTAGGAAGGGTCATGCCTAACTCCCATTTGGTCGTGGGGGCATTTAGAAGAGGAAGGGGACCCCAGCGCCTTCTGGCCTCTCTGCTGAGGGAGTCAGAAGCAGGCACCTCCTGGGCCGATCGCTGGGGAGAGGCCTTACAACTTGAAGTCACAGCTGATCTGGTTTGTGCCAGACTGTAGCAGCCCCTCCTGAGCCGTCCACGCCAACAGCACAGGGAGCAGCTAGGGATGGAGCGTCTCCGACTCCTCCCTCCGCCCCGTGTGACACAGGCGCGGGGTACATGGGGAAGGGGCCTTACCCAGTGTGTGGCGTCCGCACGGCTGCCGGGCTCCTGCGGAGGGCCGGGCGCCATCTCATGGCGGCTGAGCAGAGGGGTGCTCTCCTTCGCCTCGTTCACCTCCGAGATGACTTCACATTTGTTGAACTTGATGCTGCACTTTCGAGAGTACGTCCTGGTCTAGGGGACAGGAGAGCAGGTCTTCAGAGAGGGGCAGAGATTTGGGGCCAGGGGACAGTATGGGAGGGGACATCGAAGGAACCTCCCCCGAGAGGCTGAGATGACTCCGCCATGAGCAGAGCGGCTTTCACTTCTGCAGAGGCTGGTACTGGAGGCCGAGGCTCAGGGCCTGCTCCAGCTCCCTTTGCCGTTTTACAGTCGTTCTCTGCAGGTCACTGGATTGCTGCCTCTAATGCAGGGCCCTGACCCAGCATGGAGCACGCTATCGTTGCTACCCTGTTAACAGATGCCCCGAGCTGCATTAGGTACCTAGGCAGGGGATCATTCCCAACATTGGCCCCTTTTCTGGCCAGGATGTACGGGGCAAGCAAGCCAGCTTCCCCTGGAGAGGGAGGGGGCAGGGAAGAGTCTATGCTCCTGCAGTTTTGTCAGCCAGTTGGCTGGGGATCCCCAGTTCAGAACTGGGCAGCAACAGGAAGCGGGTTGCTCATTTTCCACCCCGCCGCGCCCCTCTACCTTCTGAATCACTTTTCCAAATGGCCAGAGAAAATACCCAGCGAGGTCCCAGCACAGCTTCCCTGTGGGGAGAAAGGAGATGGCAGTCACCCCCGGAGCTGGGACGTTTCCCCTTGCCCGGCCAGGCGCTCCCTCTGAGCCAGAGGCAGCGGAGGGGGATTACGGAGGCTGTCCTGGGGGATGGGATTTGCCCAGGTGGAAGGGAAGGTGACCTGCCCTCAGTCACCATGATGAGTGCTGGGTGGAAGGACGCTCACGGCTAGCTAGGAAGCGCTCCTGCACTTTAGCCTGGCTGTTTCTGGGGAGAGGCGAGGCAAGACGGACAGGGTCCAGGAAACAGGATTCTTGCACCAGAAGCAAACTCCCTGC